CCTCAACAGCTCGGCCTTCACAGAGGCTAGCGCGTCTCTGTCTGCTGTAGCAAAGTCCACATCGTCTACGTAAACAAGAATGTAGAACGGAGTTTGGTCGGAGCGGACGAAGAGCGAGGGTATGCAGACGACGGGTAGAACTGCATGTCAGCAAGTGTAGCACGTAGCATGTCGTGCCACTCACGGGGCGCCTGGCGCAGGCCGTAGACAGGGCGCCGAAGGAGCCACTCAGTACTAGGGGAAAGGTACTGAAGAAGCCCAGGGGGCGACGCAGATAGACCTGCTCGTGTAGACTGCCCTGGAGAAAAGCTATGGAGAAGTCGAGTGAGTGCAGCTCGTAGTCACGCAGTGCTGCTACGTGTAGTAGTACCTGAAGAGTAGTCATCTTCGGGGTCATTTCGAATGTCTGAAAGAAGTCAATCCCCTCACGCTGACTGAAGCCACGAGCAACGTAGCGCGCCTTGAAGACAGGCGGCTCTCCAGGAGGGCGCTTCAACTTGAAGAGCCATCGGCCATCGACTACGTTCACCCAGGTGGGGGAACTGCGTCGACGAAGGTAGCGGTGGATCTCCAAGACGCCATCTCCTGCTCCATGGCAGCGATCCACTGAGAGACCCAGGGTCCCGAGGTGGCCGCAGCGTGGGTGCGAGGGGTCGGGATGTCAAGGGCGTCTGGGTCACCCTCAGGGACTAGCAGCATGAAATAGAGATGGGGAGCGGCCTCTGACAGGAAAGCAAGCTCGTACTGTCTGTCCTCTAGGATGTCACTGCCAAGGGCAGCCACACCCCCGACGGACGGAGGGCAGGCAGGGTCAGAGACCAGAGCGGTGGCGTAGTCAAGGCGGCGGGTAGCGGCAAAGTCAGCGACAGCAGCGACAAAAGCATCAAGGCTCGAGACAGGAAGAGACTGGTCGGTAACGAGGGAGGCAAGGACACGAGGAACAAGGGACGCGCGGCACGGAGGAAGTCAGAAAACGGAGGCGGGGCCACAGCGAGCGACGACGGAGGAGGAGACAAGAGGAGCGGAGGAGCATGAGACGTGTGAGAGTGAAGCAACATAGGGTGAGAACGCGGAACAGGGGAGGTAGGACGAACACGAGACGGACGACGAGCCCACACGTGAGACAGAGGATTCGGCTCAGGAGAGAGGGGAGGAGACACAGGAGGAGAACGAGGAGGGAAACGAGCCGGAGAAGAGTCCACGGGAGGATACACATGGCCGTAGACCAGCAGAGGAGGAGGCTACAGTGAGTGAGGAGGCACCGGCGGGCAGTCAGGAGAAGGAAGGCCGAGGTGGCGAAGAGCGGACACCGGCGGCTACTGCGACGACTGTTGCCTAACACCAACACCTGAACCTCCAGCAGGACCACGGCTTCCTCCGGGAAGCCCCACGCCAGCACCCCCTGAACGGGAACCCGCTCCAGTACCCATTCCAGCACGCTCCCCAGCACCCCGAGAACGCACAAACCCAGCGGCGGTGACGACGGTGGCTATGGCTGCGACGGCGACGGCAGCTTTGGAGGCGGCTGCGGCTGCGGCTCTGATAGCAACGGCGACGACAGGGGAGGAGAGACCGGGGCGGGGACAGCAGGGGAAGGGACTCTGCCGAGCCGCGATAGTCAGCAGACCCCTTGGCAGGGACAACCGACGGGAGGGGGTGGCGTGAGACACACCAGACGGGGCAGGGCGGGAGGGGGGGAACAGGGGCGACCGGGGAGGGGGAGAACCAGGAACTGGGGGGGGTGACCGGGGGACCACGGTGGGGAAAGCGGTGGTAGAAGGAGACGGATTCGTCAAAGGTGACGTCACGAGAGTGAAACAAACGGTGAGACGGCGGGTGGTAGAAGTGCCAGTCAGACGAGTCGAGGGGGAAACCTAGAAAGACACAGGGGACGGTGCGGGCAGTGAGCTTGTCCGTGCCAGAGGCACGAACGTGAGCAAGGCAGCCCCAGACGTGGAACGCAGACGCGTTACCAGGAGACCCTGTCCAGAGGAGAGTCGGCGAAACCTGCGCCCGCTGAGGGTGCAGCCACAGGTTAAGCTGGTGGGCGGCGTAGTGAATGGCGAACAGGCACAGAAAATGGGGTGCACCAGCATGGATCATGGAGGTATGAGCCACCTCCATGACAAAGCCGATGCGTCGCTCTGCGACCCCATTCTGCTGGGGGGAGAATGGCAGGGTGTACGTTTGGGTGATGCCCTCCGCATGACAGAAGCGACCAGGGCAGCCAGAGGGATAAGAACGTTGGGCACGTCGGCCTTCCGCTCCAGGGGAAACACGGTGGTGCAGTGAGTGTAGTCGTCGACAAGCACTAGGAAGTAACGCTCACTACATGGCCCTTGACGGGGGCGGGGCCCCAGACGTCCATGTGCAGGGTCTGTAACGGTGCGGTGGTGGGGGAAAACGAGGAGGAGTGAGGGGCACGGCGGAGCCGGCCCTTGACGTAAGGGGTGCACGGAGGCGCTGCCGAGGGGGGGAGCACAGGGAATGACGCAGGGAGACCTTAGACAAGACCGTTCTAAGACATGTGACGGAGACGTGTGAGGGCGGGGTGACCTAGGCGGTGGTGCCATAGAAGCGACTGGTGAGTAAGCGACCGACACGAGCAAGCCGCAACATCTTGGGGAGACGCTGCCACCTGGGGGGCGTCCCAACCAGGGGAGGACGCGGTGTCCAGCGTGAACAGGCCAGACACCGGGTCCGGGGGAACATGGTGAGGGGGGCACCAGTGGCAGCCTCGGTACAGACAGCGTACCTCTCGTGCCCAGGGAATGTAGTGGTGACGCCGAGGTCTTGAAGTCAGCCAACACCAACTAGATTTCGAGAGAACGAGGAGATGTGCAGGCCTGTAAGAGAGCTTGAAGGAACTGCCGTACAGGAGGGGGTTGGTGGAACCACGAGCGACTACTGGACCTGAGGAAGGGTCTGCAAGGGCAATTGCGGTAGGGACGGCAAGCGGTGTAAGCATAGTGTGGTCCTGAAAGAAACACCGAGACGCGCCAGAGTCGAGAGTGAAGGAGAGCGCGGCAGTGGAGGCTGGAGGCGGAGGAGCTAGGGTGGAGCCAAGGCTAAACAAAGCAAAGGGTCCTACGCCTGACACAGAAGGGGAGCGTACACTAGGCACACTAGGCACACCTACACTAGGCAACACGGGGTAATAGGGACCAGTCACACTAGAGTCATCGAAATACAGCACATACAAAGCAGAGCTAATCTCATCCATGTCCATATCAAAGATCCTAACACCACGGCGGAGGAGACTGTGCCAGTCGGGGAGGTCCGTAGTGGGGCCGAAGCGAAGATGAAATTGGTCGTCTAGGCGACTGAAACAGCGAGTGGGGGTATGACCAGTCTTACCGCACATGAGGCCGCGGCGAGGACCGGTCTGGAGCTGGTACTAGCAGCGCCCGTCACTTGCACCAGCACCCGACGACGAGCTACGCGCACAACCACTGCGACCATCACCACCACCACCAGCGCCTGGCCACCCAGGCGGGAGGCGGACGGCCCGCCGCTACGGCTGCTGCTGGTCAAGCTGTGGCGCCTGCTGCTGCTCCCGCTGGGGCTGCTGCTCCGAGGCACCAGCCCAGCCCCCTCGTCTGTACTACCGCCAGCAAACGAACCACCTCCACCACCACCTCCACCTACACATGAAGCTGGGCCTCAGTGCAGGCAGCGCGCCAGCTAGCGTCGAGCGTGCGCAGGTGCGTGGCTAGGTCAGCGACAGTGGGGAAAGACGCGACATCAGGGAAGAGCATGGGAATGATCAGGCGGCCGGCAGAGGCAGAGGACGGGGTGGAATAACGCTCGACAACAGCCTCTAGGAACTCCTGCGTAGTCCTGTTTGATTTAATGTGGGGGCTTTCCGACAGGGGTAGGGCATGGCTAATCGCAAGCTGAGCGACAGCGTCACGCGACAGCCAGACAGCACGGGCAAGGGCAGCAGCGGCGGCAGACTTACATTCAGCAGTCGTGGGGTCAGGAGGGAGAGCAACAGGGGGGTCAGGGCACGGGAGCGTACCATCAATGTGGACGGTCAGGGAGTGGTCGTCTTGACGTTGAATAGTGAGGTGATGGCGGAGATCGACAAGCCAGGAGTCGAACTCAATCGGCTGACCCTCCGCGTCAAAGCACAGCACCGAGTCCGCCATGAGGGCCGCTGCAACCGCGAACAGACGGCTACGGAGTGACGAGGAATGGTGGCCACGTGAGGCTATTGGCTTTAAGGGATTACGGCAGGATTACGCTAGATATAGCGCGCCAGTACATCCCATGCCTGGTCGGTGATATATTATAATAGCAGGATAAACCAAAGGATAATGGAAAATGGAGAATAGGAAACCAAATGAGATGAGATAAAAAGAGAAATGAATAGAAAGGAAATAGGAAAAGGCAAGTGGTGTAACGGGGTCGTACTCTCACACTTCCCCCCCTCAAAGCTGGGTGGTAGAAGTAACACCCTGCTTGACAAGGTAGTCATGCAGAGGACGACGGGCGTTACCCATGTCGGACTCAGGTACCCAGCTGTCCTCAGAAGGATCATAACCCTTCCAACGGATGAGAAGCTCCACGGTGCCATTCCGACGACGGCGGTGTGCGAGCACGGACTCGACCTCGTACTCGGGTTCATTCTGGACGAGGACGGGCGGCGGCGGCGGGTTGGCGTCCGACGAAATCGTGTTCGGATCCCGATAGGGCTTCAGAAGTTGGACATGGAAGGCGTTGTGAATCTTCCAGGTAGCTGGCAGGCGTAAGCGGAAGGTAACAGGAGTGACCTGTGCTTCAACGAGAAAGGCCCGCAGAAGCGAGGTCGAAGTTTAGATGGGAGATGGCTGATGTCCAGGTTGCGGGTGTCAAGAGCACCTGGTCTCCCACGGAAGGTGTGGTCGTTGCGATGGCGATCGGCCTGGCGCTTCTGTTGCTGTTGAATGTCGAGGAGGCGCTTGGGTCCGATCCCAAAGCTGATGCATGGTTGTGATGAAATCATGTGCAGGTTGGACTGTAGCGGATGTGTCGGTTTTTGTGGTGTGAGTGGGTGGCGTCCGTAGCAGAGGAAGAACGGCGTCTGTCCAGTAGCGGCATGTGTAGCATTGTTGTAAGCAAACTCTAGGACGGGCAGGTGCAAGTCCCATTTGGAGATCTCGTCCTTGCAGGCTGCTCGGAGGAGTTGCTCAACAATTTGGTTGAGGCGCTCGGTCTGTCCGTCTGTCTGCGGATGGTATGCGGATGACATGGCGAGTTTGGTCCCGAGCAGAGACATAAGTTCCTTCCAGAACTTGCTGGTGAACTTGGGGTCTCGGTCGGAGATGAGTGTGGTTGGGATGCCATGCTGTGAGATGATGTACGAACGAAGAGTTGTGCTGTCTCCTCGGTGCGTGCTGTCGTGTGTGTCGGGATGAAGTGTCCCATTTTGGAGAACTTGTCATGACGACAAGGATTGCGTCATGACCGCTGGTGGTAGGTGGTAACCCGGTGATGAAGTCCAGGCTAACCACTTGCCATGGTTGTTCTGGGACAGGAAGAGGCTGCAGTAGTCCCGCCTTTTTCTGCTTGCTGCTCTTCATCCGCTGACATGTATCACACGAGGTGACGAATTTCTGACATCTCTGCCAAGTGGGGCCAGTAGTAGTGTTTGCGATACCGGTGAGCGTCTTGTTGCTACCGAAGTGTCCGGCGTAAGGACGTCGTGGTATTCTTCGAGTAGTAACTGGCGCAAAGGAGGGTAATTGGGTACCCAGATTTTTGTTGATCCTTTCCGGTACGCGATGTCACTGTCCCACTGTAGCAGATGTCGCTTTTCTGCCAAGGGAATTTCGGGGTCGATGGCGTACCCGTGTGTGAAGAGTCCCTTGAGTAGTGGATTCATCCCTTCGACCTGAATAGCGGCAACGTGTGCAGGCCGGCTGAAGCGTCTGCTTTGTTTTGTGGCCGGGCTTGTACACGATGTCGTAGTGGAAGTGTGTCTCGAGGAAGTCGATCCACCGGACCTGCCGCCTGGAAAGGTTGGGTTGTGTCTTCAAGTATTTCAGGCTGCAGTGGTCGGTGTAGACGGTTGTTCTTCGTCCTTCGAGATAACATCTCCACGCTTTGAAGGCGATGACGATAGCAAGGGCCTCTTTGTCGTGTATCGGGTAGTTTAGTTCTGCCCCGTGCAGTTTCTTGCTGAGGTAGGCAATTGGTTGCAGTCCATTCCCCTGGTCTTGCATCAAGACTGCTCCCACTGCCTGGTCGCTGGCGTCAGCTTCGATGACGTAGTCACGTTCGGGATCTGGCAAGATGAGTACCGGTGCGGACGTGAGTGCTTGTTTCAGCTGCTCCACGGCTTCCTGGTGCTTCGGCTCCCATTTGTAGGGCGTGTTCTTCTTCAGCAGATTCGTGAGTGGTGCCGCGAGTTTCGCATACTGTGGCACGAACCTGTTGTAGTAATTAGCGAAGCCTAGGAAGCTGCAACTCCTTCACGTTCTCGGGTGTCTTCCACGTACGTACGGCTTCGATTTTCTTGGGGTCGACGTGAACTCCTTGAGCGCTCACCATGTGTCCTAGGAATTGGACCTTTCAGGGCGAATTCGCTCTTGGACAGTTTGACGTAGAATCGTTCTCGTCGAAGAATTTCGAAGACGCGTCGCAGGTGTTCGACGTGCTGCTTATGTCGTGCGAGTAGATGAGGATGTCGTCCAGGTACACCACCACGCATCGTCCAGAAGTGGTCGTAGAATGTGGTTCATTTCGGCTTGGAACGTTGCCGGTGCGTTGGTGAGTCCGAACGGCATGACCAAATACTCGTACGATCCGTACCGAGTTCGGAAAGCAGTTTTGTGGATAGAGTTGTCCGCCATCCGTATCTGCCAGTATCCGGACCGCAGATCCAGTTTGGAAAATACCGTAGCTCCCCGAAGCTGGTCAAGCAGGTCATCGATTCGTGGTATCGGATATTTATTCTTGATGGTCTGCTTGTTAAGAGCTCGGTAGTCGATGCACATGCGCAGGCTTCCGTCCGGTTTCGGTGTGAAGAGTACTGGGGCACCGTATGGCGAAGTGGATGGTCGGATGAGTCCTTTGGCTAGGAGATACTCGATCTGTTTTTTATGTCGTCAGCTCCGTAGGGCTGAGCCGATATGGTGCTCGGAAGGTCGGCTTCGAACCCGGTTCCTCCACGATCTCGTGTTGATGCGTTCGGTATGGCGGTAGCTCGTTCGGAAGATCGTCAGGAAGAATGTCTTGGAACTCCTTCAGTAATTCCTTGATTTTTCCTGGAGGTTCCGAGGCTTCTCTCCGTCATTCTCCACCTCTGTTGCTATCGCCAGGAACCCGGTGTCGGTTCGCTTCACGTCCTTCTCGAATCGTGCGAGTGTCTCCACTGGGATATCTCCTGTATCGTCCCAGTTGGGTAGCTGTACTCTCCGTCCATTGTTGTAGATGCTTGCGGTGCGGTTCACCCAGTTGATCTCGGGGTTGAATCTTTTTAGGAAGTCTCGCCCGAAGATCAAGTCAAGCCCTTTGATGTTGGTGATGGGGAGTGCAGGTCTCCAGCGCAGTGGTCCGATTTGTAGGTGTAGCACTGCTTCGCCGTGTACTGGTAACTTGCTGCCGTCCACCATCGTTGCAGAGAATCCTGAAGGCTTGTACTCTTCCCGAAGTCGGTCGATCTGCCTTGTCGCAGACGGTGTGCGATGCTCCGCTGTCCACGAGTGCTTGGAGGCGTCGTCCTTTGCAGATGACCTCGAGCACGAGGGGCAGGCGTTGCTCGGAGTACCCAAAGATAGTTTCATTGATTGGGTCATAGGGTACATCCCAATATTCCGTACACACCTTTGTGTTGCTATCTACTCCTGAGCTGGCAGCTGGCCGAGGCTGCTTGGAGAACGGCTCTTCTCCAGGGCCCGGAGTTTCCTTGACGACTGTGCGCGTCGTTGATGCCGAAGAACTGGATGCATCCGGAGGAGTTCGGGGTTTTGCAGCTTCTTGTAGACCCCCAGCTTCCTCTTGAGCTGCTTCAGCTCCACCGACGTCTTCCCTGGGGAACGGGTAGTCGTTGTGGGCTGGTGTCGGGAGAGGACGTTGACTCCGTGGAAAGGTCGGCTTCTTTCCACACTCCTTAACTTTTTCCCCAAGTTGTCCGGTACCGGTATAATCTCCACAGCTTTCTGCTTCTTTTGGAGTCCCTCCCGAATTTCTCCAAGGCTCTAGCCCCTCGAAATCATAAGTTTTCATTAAAGCATCTTTATAAGATAACTTTAACGAATCTTATAATTTCTTGGGTCTTCAAGGAGTTTCCCCGTCTCGGCAGAGTCTTTTTTCGCGGAGTCGATTTTTCCTCGGCGATTTTCCCTGGCGAAGACTGGTCGTGGGGTGGAGATTTTCCCCCATCATTTCCTCCTTTCGCGTCGAATCAGCTTCGTCGAAGTTGATTTTTCCGGAATCCCGCGGCCGTTTCGGATCTTTTTTTTTCGCCAGCTAGATCCGCAATCACTGGCGACTCCCGTTTTTTGTCTTCTGATTGGCCGAAGGATTTCCGCCACTGTTGCGTGCCCGATACTCTGCGCGTGCGGCTTTCATTTTGTTGCAGTCGAAGATTCGATGACCCGGCACCCCGCAAAAATCACACGTGTAGTTGGTGTTTTTCGGACGTGGCCGCCCTCGAATCTGTCGACTTCCATCGGGTCGGCGAACGTGGGGTGAGCCGAGCGGTCGCCCTGTCGCGTACTGCCGACGTGCGTCCGTCGTGTCCGGCGTTGACCATGTCGAAGCGCTCCGCGGCCGAAACGACGTCACTGTAGCTCGCGTAGTTTGACGCTGCCACTTGTCGTTTGACTTCGGTCTTCAGCCCGGCGAGGTACGATTGTACTTTTTCCCCTTCGGTCAGGTCGGGAATGGTTATAAAATTCTCCATCTGCTGCGTGTACTGTGCTACACTCCCGAACTGTCGATGGCGATGAATTTTTTCCCGGGCAAGGAAACCGAATTTATCGGCTCGAAGCGTTTCAGCAGGTCGGCGGAACTGCTGCCACGTGGCTTCACCGTGGATGAAGTGCTGTTGCCGCCAATCCACTCGAGTGCCGGCCCTCGCATCAGTGTCGCCGCGAGTCGTACGCGTTGACCGTCCCAGACTGGCGAGCTCCATCCGACGGCTGCGAAGTAGATCTCCATCCCGGCGATCCATCTGCGGGCGTCGGAGTTTCGATCGCTCGGATCGAACGGCTCAGGTGGGCGCGGTTTCGGAGCCTCGAGAAACTGCTGCGACTGCTGCGTCGTCGCCGTTGTCGTCGTGCTGCGCTCCGGCGAGTCGAGTTACTCGCTCGAACTCGTTTCGCCACGCTTCGCGATCCGCTCGCATTCCTCCTGAAGGGCTGCGATGCGCGCGAAGAGCTGCTGGGTAACCTCGGCGTTGTCGAAGGTTGCCATCTGTTCAAAACACGCGGGGGGGTAATTCAAAATCGCGGAGCTGGTGCTTACCAGAATCGGCGTCGAATTGGTCGCCCCCGGCGGTTTTTCGAGGCAGGTTTTCCCGCTGCTCTGCTTTATTGAGCGCGGCCGAGTGAGAAAAGCTCTGATTACCAAGTGTCACAGGATCGAATGTGTCGAGGAAAGATTGTACTATCGATGTACAAGGCGCTTTTTACTTCCAGAGTACATCAGGTAACCAGGTTTATCTATCCAAGGGAATAGACCCTTCTAGAAATAGAATCACCCTGCGTATAGCCAAGCGAGGCTATTGGCTTTAAGGGATTACAGCAGGATTACGCTAGATATAGCGCGCCAGTACATCCCAAGCCTGGTCGGTGAAATAATTAAAATAGCATGATAAACCAAAGGACAATGGAAAATGGAGAATAGGAAACCAAATGAGATGAGATAAAAAGAGAGATGTAATAGAAAGGAAGTAGGAAAAGGGACAAGTGGTGTAATGGGGTCGTACTCTCACAGTGTTGGTGCCCAGGAGCAGCAGCAGTCGCCACAGTCGCAGCCGCCGCAGCAGCAGCAGCCGTGGGCACGTCTCTCGCCCGGGTGGCCAGGAGCCCCTGGCGCTGGTGGTCGTGGTGGTGGCCCTCGCACCTCGGCATCCACCGGCAGCTTCGGTGCTGTGAGCTGCCAGAACCAGCTTCAGACCGGGCCCCTGCGTGGCACGGTGTGCCGCCGCTCGCACCCCACTGCCCGCTGCTTCCGCGGCCTCGACGACCTCTTCCGTCGCCGCTTTGGTCCCGCCCCGGACCTCCCTGACTGGCCCAGCCTTCTGCGCCACGGTGTGCCTGTGTTTGACTTAGACATGGATCCGATTAGTTCTGCCTTGCATTCTCTGTATGCTGACGCTTCGAGTGTTTCCAGATCGTATTACTCTGTGTTCTCTAGCTTAGGCCATAGCACCTGTGTATAGTCTAGACTCCCCTGCTCCATTAGGCGTAGGACAGCTTGCTTGTCTAGCCTAGGCTCTACCCTTGCTCCTCTGTCGTTGGCCACTACGGTGTCGGTGTCCTTCATTCTAGACTCCGCTGTGTCAGCCTGTTTTCTTCCGCGACCACGCCGCCCTCACGCCGCTTGCTGCGCCTGCCGCTGTCGCCCATGCGGACCCCTCCTCTGGTCCTGTAGTTGCTCGCAGCTACACTACCCTTCCCTGTCCAGCGGTTCCCTCGGGTTCCCTTACAGGCCTGCACATCCCTTCGTTCTCCAGGAACCTAGTTGGTATCGGCTGTCTTCAGGACCTCGGCGTCACCACTACGTCCCTAGTCACGAGCGGTACGCGGTCTGTTCCGAGGCCGCCTCAGGTGCCCCCCTTGCGACGTTTCCCCGGGACCCTGTGTCTGGCCTGTTTACGCTAGACACCTGCTCCCCCCCCCCGACGGGCGAGTCCTCCTCCGGTTCTGCGTCCACCCAGGTAGCTGCGGCCTGCTCGTGTCGGTCGCTCACTCACCCCGTCACTGTTGTGGCACCACCGCCTAGGTCACCCCGCGCTCCCCCGCATGCGTCACATGTCTCAACACGGTCTAGTCCTCGGTATCCCTGCGTCGCTCCCTCCTCTCCCTCCTCGTCTGCGCCGCCGTGCACACCCTAAGTCGAGGGCCGGCTGCGCCGTGCTCCTCACTCCTTTTCACTTCGCCCTGCCACTGCACCCCTTCAGACCTTGCACGTGGGCGTCTGGGGCCCAGCCCCTGTCCCTGGACCGCTTCGCCAGCGCTACTTTCTAGTGCTCGTTGATGACTTTACGCGCTACACCACGGTGTTTCCCCTGGAGCGGAAGGCCGACGTGCCTGACGTTCTTATCCCGTGGCTCGTTGCTGCGCACCTCCACCGCGGTCTCCCTGTGTTGTGTCTCCACTCCGACCGTGGCGGCGAGTTCGCCTCTGGTCGGCTGGGTCAGTTGTGTCGTGCGGAGGGTATCACCCAGACGTACAACCTACCGGACTCCCCGCAACAGAATGGGGTCGCTGAGCGACCCATCGGTTTGGTCATTGAGGTGGCTCGTACCTCCATTATCCATGCCAGTGCACCCCATTTTCTGTGGACGTTCGCCGTTCGCTACGCCGCTCACCAGCTTAACCTCTGCCCTCGCTCTCAGCGGCCGCAGGTTTCGCCGACCCTTCTTTGGACCGGGTTCCCTAGTGACGCGTCTGCGTTCCACGTTTGGGGCTGCCTCGCTCACGTTTGTGCCTCCTGCACGGACAAGCTCACTGCCCGCACTGTCCCCTGTGTCTTCCTCGGTTTCCCCCTTGACTCGTCTGACCTTCGCCCCGACCCCAAAGATGACTACTCGTCGGGCACTGCTAAACGTAGCAGCACAGCGTGACTACGAGCCTCACTCCCTCGACTTCTCCACTGCTTTCCTTCAGGGCAGCCTACACGAGCAGGTCTACCTGCGCCACCCTCAGGGCTTCACCGGTACTTTCCCTTCTGGGACCCAGTGGCTCCTCCGGCGCCCCGTCTACGGCTTGCGACAGGCGCCCCATGAGTGGCACGACATGCTGCGTGCCACGCTAGCTAACATGCAGTTCTTTCTGTCCTCTGCTGACCCTTCGCTCTTCGCTCGTGCTGGCCTGACCCCGTTCTACATCCTGGTCTACAAAGACGACCTGGTGTTTGCTACAGCAGACAGAGACGCGCTGGCCTCAGTGAAGGCTGAGCTGCTGAGGCGACACACCTGCACTTACCTGGGAGAGCTGCGCCGCTACCTTGGCCTGCAGATCTCCAGGGACAGAGCAGCGCGCACCATCACTCTTACATAGTCACACTTGGTGCGCCAGGTCCTTGACCTGCTATACACCTGCTGCAAGACCAATGAACCCATGGACACATGGGTCACGATCACCAACCACCTTGCCTCGCGGAAGTTCAAGAACCTTCCCGAGGGCGGGTACGGGACGTACATGAATTCGTAAGCCCTAAATCCATGTAGATTCCTAAGCTTCTTATTCATACCTTCGATCCTTACAAACCACTAACGATGTGTTTATTCTGTTTTTAAACAGAGGTACGGTTTCGGGAGTTCACGCAATCCACCGCGACCTGGCTGCACACCATCCAACTGGAGCACCTCCTGCGAAGCCAGTTCATCGGACTTAGCCTCGATGAGAGCACGGACCGTTGCAGAGGAAATCACACGATAGTCTACACTTTC